CGCCGCAGCCCAAGAGGCCGGGCGGGAGGGCGCCACGGAGGAGGCCGTCCGGGAGAGGTAGGGCGCCTTGTGCCAGGCACTGCTCTGAGCAGAGACTAATTTTTTTCGCACAGCGACCCATTTTACAGATGAGAAGCAGATATGGCGCGCTTAGTGCAAGGCCACACAGGCAGGTCTGGGAGTCCACCCCAGGCCCCAGGAACTTGGACTCAATCCCATGACTGTGCCTCCCCTGAATATGCCCAGCCCCCGTTGCCCTTGGAGGTCCTTTTCAGTACCACTTCCTTCGGCTGGTTTTTTTCTTTTGAGGAATTTTGGTTCTTGTCTTATCCATTCCCTACCCTCTTCTTTTCCCACTCTCCCCCTCTGCTCCAGCTACATGTTTTTTGACCCCACCAGGCTCGCCTCTGCCCCCGGGCCTTTGCACATGCCACCTCTCTCTAGAGCAGATACCCCTCCTTCAGGTTTAAGGCTTCTGTCTTCCCCACCCCCCATGTTACAGCTCATCGCCCACCCCCACCCCCTGACTCTGCTGCCTTTTTCTTCACTTCATTATCTGCTCATTTTTGTGTCAGCTCCATAGGGGCAGAGATTTTTGTCTTGGTTACTGCTGGGCCCCCCAGCGCTTCGCACACAGGTGCTCAGTTAACGTGTCGCATGAGCGAATGGAGTGACAGGCGGCAAAAGCAGAAGGACTAGGCCTCACAGCTGTGAGAGGCTTTCAGCAAGAGAGTTGGGCAGGAAGGAGGGGGCCGCCTGGGCCCCGCGGCTGAGAGTCCCTTGTCGGCCCCAGAGTGATCCGCTTCGCTGAAGACATGTTGGAGAAAGACCTCAAGGATAATCGGAGCATTGGAGACCTGGGAGCCCACCACCTCCTGGAGCGGGCAGCCCCCACAGGCAGCAAGGTGACCGTGCTGACCCACTGTAATACTGGTGCACTGGCCACTGCTGGCTATGGTACAGCCCTGGGTGAGTAAGGGGATGTTCATGGGGATGGGGGAGGGCCCCTTTTGGATTCAAAAGAAAGAAACCCAAACCACTTTCCCCACCCCACCCCCAAAATGGAAATAGATTAGTTCTTGTACAGAAACAGGAAGGTGACTTCAGGTACGGCTGGATCCAGGTGTTCAGAAAATTCGCATTAGGACCCATCTATTCCTATCCCGGTCCTGCTCCTG